AAACAGGAACAGCAGCAGGCAATGGAAAGGGGTAAGGAGGCAGATCAGTCACCTGTTTAGCAGGTTATGTTTCTGCCTCCCACACCATGCAGAAGAGACACAACATCCAAGTAAGGGAGAACAAACCATGGAAAATGGAGTCCCGAGGAAACCGAGTAGGCATGGCCACCAACATTCATATGAGTATTTAATCTTTCCTTTACAAAGTCACTTCGTCCCATTTATAGGGCATGAGCCTTAAGATGTCTGTGAGCCTAGAAGGAGCTTTCCCACAGAATCCAGCTTATGTGGATTCTGAAGAAATTGAGTGTGAGGCAGAGGATGTGACCGGGGGTGGCGATAGAGGGAAGGAGGAGGGAGAGTGCTTGGTAAAAGGGAGCACAGGTTAGGAAGAGAGGAATCCTGCCTGTGGAGAGCTCTGGTACCACAGAGCAGCTCTATGCTAAGTCCTTCAGTGTCGATGTCACTAATAGAGTCCTTTGTGTCTTCTTTCAAGGGTTGTGCACACTGCCTCTTTTGGCCTGGTTCCCTCCTGTGACTGTTATACTACACCAGGGAAACACACGGTTTAGGAACCATGAGAGAATATTTCCCACACAGCCATATCCACTGGAAATGGTAAGAGTTATGGAGCCAGCACAGCAGCTTGACACAGTCCCAGCAATGGCTCTTCTGTCTCTCATGTCTGGGTTTTGGTCTCTGTGTATTTCATTCTTGGGGACTTTCTGCATTCATACTTATTTTATGTCTTTTCCTGAGAAAAACTATGAGTCTTTTTAGGAAAATCCTAAAATTAACTTTATCTTGTCCTATTTGGAAGCCTTCCCTAAGGAAATCTTCAAGCACAGACAAACACAGCTAGATGAGGCCATTACTGTAGGAATCTTCTTGGTATCTTTCCCTTAGCAAACTCAAATAATATAACTGGTACAGGGTAAACACAGATAATTGACCAACTGAATGGGCAGGAGGTTACAGACTCAAGGCATCTTTATTATATGCTTAGAGCCCTCTGAAAATGCAGTTTAAATATAGGGAATCATACAGGGTACACCCCTGGAGGACTAGATCTCAGTAAATAACACAGATGGACTAAATGAAATCTTTCCTACTGACAGCATAGATAATGAAACATACAGTAAAAGAAGCTAGGTTTAGTATTTGTTGTTCATAAAAAGACTGGTTCAGATATTTTCTGTTCGTGTAGACTATTTTCAAAGTACAAAAACATTGCCAACCTAAGAACAGGCTGTCATATAATCTGTTTGATTTCTAGGAGACATTCTTTAGATTCTTTAAATTGAAGTATAGGGCTGTTAATAAAAATATAATCTGCTCTATTTGTACTTTCTAAGTGTGACTGAACTTGTAAAGCTAGACATGTAATGAAAAGTCAAACATGTCCAAAGGTAAAACTATATAATCTGTACTTCTTAGATAACCTGAGTCTGTCTGTGTTCTGTGAAACCTGTATAAATAAAGAAGTGACCTGAATACTAGTTGTTAGTAATCTGTCTAAACTCCACCTCCACAGTTACCTGGCAACAGCCAGGTATGTTCCTCCCCACAGTTACCTGGCAATAGCCAGGTAGGCCTGCCCACTATAAAAGGGGCTGCTTGCCCCCTCCTCTCCCTCTTGTTCCCCTCGACCCAGCCCCCCCCTCTCCACATGGTCATGGCCAGCCTTTACTCCTCTACTTCTCTCTCTATCTCCTCCAGCTCTCCTTCTCTCTTAATAAACTCCCCCTCATGAAACCGTCTGGTCTGCTGTGATCTGTCTGAGCTTTCACTAGTGACTCAGAGCTGCAAGGTTCCCCAGATCATCCTGCCTGACTCACTCCTCCCTCTCTGACTCTCTGTCTCCTCTCAGGCCACCCTGTCAAATGGCCAGGGAAGGCCTCCTGGCAGGCTAATATCTAAAATATATAAAGAGCTAAAAAAAAAAAAGTAGACATCAAGCAAACAATTTAATTAAAAATTAGGTCTACTCAGAGAATTCTCAAAAGAGGAAACTCAAATGGCTGAGAAACAGTTGAAATAATGTTCAACATCCTTAGTAATTGGTAAATGTAAATCAAAACTAAGGATATATGAAAAATCTTATGGAAACCCACAAGTTAGCAAGCTAATTTCAAAATATCAGTTTAAACAACAGGGAGTTTGAACAGAAGCACCATGCATATACAGACAGTGTTACTCGCAGACAACATGGGCTACTGAATAAAAATCACAGTGTAAGTATTAGATAACTTCGTAGAAATTATTGGTCAGAGAGCCCCCAGAAGTGTCCACAACAACGCAGGCTATTGCCATTATCCTTGGTTACTCACGACGCTGTGGCAGAAACACTGCACACTTTGACTGCAAGAAAAAAATCAAGCCTAAACTGTCTAGGAATTTCCCTGGTGTCCATATTTTATATTTCTTGGAGGTCCTATGCAGGCTTTTAGGCAAGGAAATACATTAATGACTTTACCCAGTCCTCTACCCTGCATGCTACAAAACTGACCTGCCAGGTGAGGTGTGCCAGGCCTTAAAATAATCACACAACTATTAGGACATAATTACTGTCTTTCTGGTTGAATAATCTACAGGAGGAAACTGTATGCCTTATACTCTAATCCTAGTAAAAATTCATGGCTTACGGAGTCATAATTGTTTTACTAAATGGTCATATTGTCAAATTTCCTTCTAAATACTTAAGTAACACCCATAAATGTGGGCTGCTTTTAATCTTGGCCAGAGAAACTTTTTGCAGCAGGCAGCAGCCAATGCAAAGACTAAAACTGGCCAGAGTGTTGGGAATAATAAACTAAGCATTGAGCTCCAAAGGGAGCACTTTACCCCTCCCCCCACTACCTTGGACACACATACACACTCAAACATATGTACACACATATGCATATATTCACACACACACACACACCTCATTAAGGCTCAGAAAACATCACTGAAGAAGAGACTCCATTGGAGAAAACTAATTTTTCTTTTGTGAGCAGTTATCAATTGGAGATAGTACCTGCACCCGAGTTAGGAATGAGGGCTTGTGTCTACTTTCAGATTATCTTCTCTCGTGTGTGTGTGTGTGTGTGTGTGTGTGTGTGTGTGTGTGTTCCTGTTGCTTTCTTCTTGTGTCTGATTGCTCTGGGCAATTCTGGCAGTAGTGTATTGGTAGACTTTCCTATGCACTGCTTATGGGATCATTCTTTGTCTTACAAAAAACTATATGATAATATATAAGGCTGTATGTGTTCCATTACCAGAGAAAAGATAATTTAAATAGGAAAGTATACTACACACAATCTTTGATATGTTGGCTTTGATAATATGTATGTATACCAATCTTTCCAATTTAGCTCTTAGCACACGGGAAAAGACAAGGGAAAATCAAACATGGATGCATCATTTTTGTCCAGGGTACTTTAATCTTTTTGAGCATCAGTATGAGCCTACTCTCTCCCTGTCTGTTTTCTTTGTTAGAAAGATTAGAGACTGCTCTCATTTATGTCTTTCTTATAGAAAATAAGAAACACCATCTTAACAGAGAGCTGTGAGGTCATGTGTATAGTGTTCTATTTATTGATATGTAACATTATAAAGTAACTTGAAATTAAAACATCTGCTTTTTTTTCTTGGAGATAAACTGTCTGTAGCTCTGACTAGCCTGGAGCTCATTTTGGAGACAATAGAGCTGACTTTTGTCTCTGTCTTCTCAGCCATGCTGCTGCACTTGACTTTGGATTCTAAAATCTTTGGGTTTTTTTTTTTTTTAAGGGAAGGTCACAACATTTACCAAGATGTCTAAAAACTACTTCTGCACCTTCAGATTCTTTTATTTATGTGTTTTTCAAAAATTATTAATCAGCCACCATCTGTCTGCTGAACTGTAAGCCTGTCTCCTATATATTGCATATATTATATATGCATATATAATACTATATGCATATATATTGCATATATAATACTGGCATATATTGCAGGTAAATGGTAACCCCTCCAGTTATACAATCCACACTTTCATTGACTATGAGTGCTCATGGCTATCATGGATGGATAGCAGCAAGTTTTGCTTGGCTTTTCATTCCTCTAAGACTGGGGAGTTTGTGGCTCTTAGTTACTGTTTCTTTATGTTTGACAGTCTCATAATCCAGCATATTGTGATTATTACCCTCAAAACCCTCTGATATTTTCCCTTCCTTTCTGGGACCCCCTTTTTCTTCCCACCTATTAGTTCTAGTGGGTATACTAATAAAAAAAAAAAAACCTAACCCCCAACTCCAGCAAACAAGAACAGTTACTGGTCCTTTAGAAAGGATGGAGCTTCATAGGCACCTCCTGTTTCTACGACAGATAGCTGAGGGCCCAATCTTGTGTAAGTATATAGCGCTGTGTATTCATGGCTACAACTGCAGCATCATAATTAGATGGCAGCTTTCCCCATACTTGGTTTCTTTACTTCTTTCTACCTTCATTTCTGCACTGTACCTTAAGTAATGTTCGGTGTGTGTGATACGGATGTCTAGTTTAAGACTAAGGGTTCACCATTCAGTCTCGGAACTTTGGCCAGATAAACTCTCTTGGAGGGTAGACTGGAGCAGTGGAAATATCTTGAGACATTCTTTAAATTTTCCTAAAGTTTCCCTGATTGCTCTTTATAAAGTATTGCTTCTCATAAGGAAATGACATTGGTTAATCAATAGACTCCATTCCTTTCTTTCACTATGTAGTGCAGATCTTGGTATCCTCCTGCCTAAGTCTCCCATGGTTTGTTTAGAGGTGTGTCCCAACTCCCGGAGGCATACTCATACCTAACACTTTAACAATCCTTATTCGTCTAGCTGTTCTCTAGCGTTTTGACTATAGTAGACTCAGATTCACGGACCCGGCTTCCTTACCCGCACAGTTCCGATCAACATCTGAAACCTTCTGGAATAGGCCTTCGCGTTCCACTCAGCGTGAACTACATCTCCCGGCAGCCTTTGCGCGCCCACCTCTGGCGTGGCGCGTGGCCTGCCGGGAGCGGGCTGGGAGGTGGCGGCCCGGCCCAATGGGTGCGAGCTCCCGAGGAGAGGGCGGAGGAGAAGAGGAAGCAAGCGGGCTGCGGGCCGCGTCCCCATTCATTGCAGTGACCTGCTGAGTTGTGGCCCAGTGTTTCCGGAGTCATGGAGGCGCTGATCCCTGTCATCAATAAACTGCAGGACGTCTTCAACACGGTGGGCGCCGACATCATCCAGCTGCCTCAGATCGTCGTAGTGGGAACGCAGGTAAGATGAGGCCGCGATCGCGAGGCCTGGCTCGGCCACAGGCCTGCAGGTGTCAGCCGGGAGGAGGCCGCCGGTTGGCGCTCCGCTCTGGTCCCGGGCGTTCAGCGGCGCTGAGTGGCCCTACAGCCGGGTGCGGCTTGGCCCAAGGGCACTCGGCGGACGCGCGGGCGGGCGTGTGGGCGGCTGTCGCTTCCTTCCGGCGGCTGAGCTCGCGACGGACTCGAGTTGCGGTGGGCAGAGGGGCAGCAAGCTAGTGGTGAGTCGGCGGCCCTTGGAGCATTACAACGTAAAAATAAGATTAAAAGAAAATCCCGGGTATAGTTGGAGATCTAAAGTTAGGAAGGAACACCAGGTTTTTCTTGTACTACTCCATGACTTCGGTGTTCGTAGTTTTGTGACTGTGACTCAAATTTGGTATAAGGTTCTCAAGCCTTACGTGGGGTGTTGGAGATGAGTCCAAATTTTATCTGAAAAGAATACTGAAGAAATAAATATCTAGAATGGGCAGAGATATATGACTTTCTTTCTTTCTTTCTTTCCTTCTTTCTTTCTTTCTTTCTTTCTTTCTTTCTTTTTTCCTTTCTTTCTTCCAATGCCTTCCTTGAACTGAAGAGGAGCAACAGAACTTTAGGGGAGGTGGCCGTTTTTTGGTTTTGTTTGTTTGTTTGTTTGTTTAAATGTTTGTGAGTACACCGTCGCTGCCCTCAGACACACCAGAAGAGGGCATCAGATCCCATTAGAGATCGTTGTGACCCACCATGTGGTTGCTGGGAATTGACTTCTGGAAGACCAGTCAGTGCTCTTAACCGCTGAGCCATATCTCATTAGCCTCCTGGAGGGAATTGTTTTTGAGACAGGCCCTACTCTGTATTTCAAGCTGGCTAAGAATTCACAATGTTACTTGAATTGGCTGAAATTCATAGCATTCGCCCTGCCTCAGCGCTCTTGACTGATAAACCACCATGCCCAGAATTTTTTTTTTTTTTAATTTTTATGATGTGAGTGTTTTTCCTGTTGCTGGTCAGAATGGAAACTAGAGTTAAAGATGATTGTGAGATGCCACGTGGGTGCTATAACCCAGGTCCTCTAAAAGAGCAGCCTTTGCTCTTAACCTCTGAGCCATCTCTCCAGCCCCTTTATAAACATATTTTTAGGTGCTCCCATTTGTTAATATTCTTTTTTTTTTTTTTGAGGTAATGGATGATTTCTCTATTTTCCATGGGTTGTATGACTACATCTTACTACAAAAAAGTATATAAATATTATAAGAAGGAGTAGTTTAGAGAATATTAGCGGATATCCATATACTTCAAACCCTCCTGTAGTTTGTTATTGTTTTTGGCCTTTAAATATTTAAAGCAGTAGGAATTACTTGGGGGCCATTTGCTGGGTTAGCATGGATTTTGTTCGGACAGTCATATCTGCATAATCCAGAATTAACACTTGATGTTGGCAGTGCCTGGAGACCAAATTATCAAGTGTACTATTTGGTTTTTTGTTTGTTTTGGCATTTTGTTCCTGGGATCTTGGAGTAATTTTCAGTGATGCATATTGTTCATTGTAATGGGATATTTAGTTTTTAAGTTAATTTTTACTTTATGAATATTTCCCTGTGTGCATGTTTATGTATCAAATGCCTGTTAATTCCCTTGGAAGCCAGAAGGGGGCAACTGATCTGAAACATGCAAATGGTTGTGAACTGCCATGTGCATGCTGGGGACTGAACTTGGGTCCTCTGCAAGAGCAACAAGTTCTCTTAACTGCTGAGGTATATCTTCAGCCCCTGGGTTTTATAACACTAGGACTTTTATAATAAAAACTAGTTTTTGTAAATAAAATGAGAAAAGATGAAATAGTTAATTTTTTTTTATAACAATCGAGAATTGTGACCTAGCTTTAAAGCAGAAACTTTACATATACTCTTAAGAGATTTCCAAGTGCATTTTAACCATCATACAGTAAAAGAATCAGGGATATGGTGAATCAGAGTAAAGAGTTTAAAATCAGGATGGGCTTCTTGCACACAATAGTGTTAGCCAGTAGAGGAGCGATGGAGGGAAAAGGGAAGCCTGTAAAACTCAGCCCTGTGATGATACTTCTGTGCCACTTCTGCTTGTTAATGTTAGAAATTTTTAAAGGATCAGATTTTTTTTTCTACCCAGCAGGTTTTATCTCTATTCAGTTCTTACCATCTAAAATTTATTAAGAAGAGCCTAGAAACATTTCTTAGCCATTTTGACTTATTCTTTTGAGAACTGTCTGTTTAGATTTATTATCCACTATTTGAATAGGTCTTCTTTTGACCCTTGATTTTTTTTTTTTAGTTCTTTCATATTCTTGATATTAAGCCTCCTTCAGCTATATAGCTAGCAAGATTCTCTCCCACCCTATAGGTTTTCTCTTCATTCAGTTGTTCTACAGAAGCTTTTTAGTTTTATGAGGTCCCACTTGTCAATTGCTGGTCTTAATTCTTAGACAACTAGAGTCCTATTTAGAAACTCATTTTCTCTACCTGTATCCTATAGGGAACTGCCCATGTTTTCTTCTAGCAGTTTCAGTGTTTCACATTTTACATTTAGGTCTTTGATCCATTTGCAGTTAGTTTTTGTGCAAGGTGATAGACAGATATGGTCCTCATTTTGTTTTTCTACATGTAAACTTCCAGTTTTCTCAGCACTATTTCTTGAAGATGCCATCTTTTCTTTGCTGTATGTTTTTGGCATCTTTTTCAAATATCAGAAAGTATTTGCCTCATTGGTCTATATCAGAAGGTGGCTGTAGTCACATGTCATGTCTCTGTTTTCTTTGTTCTGTTCTTCTATGTGCCATTACCTTATTCAGGCTCTATAATATATCTTGTAATCTGGAATGATAATTCCTCTAGAAATTTTGCATTCTCTTTGGCTGTCTGGAGTATTGTATTATTCTATATAGATTTTAGAATATTTTTTCAATATATTTCTGTGAAAAATATGATGGGATTTTGATTGTGATTGCATTGAATCTGTAAACTTTTTTGTATAATGGCCATTTTTACAATATTAATTCTATGTAAACTATATAGCATGAACATGGGATGCGTTCTATTTTTTTAGTGTCTTCAGTCTCTTTAAAGGTTTAAAGTTTTTGCTGTATAGGGCTTTTTTACCTCTCATTATTTCTTAGATATTTTTTCTTCTAGGCTACTATGAATGGGAATGTGTCTTTGCTTTCATATTGTACTTATTGTTCCTATATAGACAAGTGAATTTTTTGTGTATTTTTTTTGTAGGTTGATTCTATATTCTGACACTTTGCTAAAAATTCTGGAGTAATTTTTGTCTCTATTTATGGTGTAGCATCTGCAGACATGAATAATTTCTGATTTCTTTCCCTTACCTTATTTCTCCAACTGGTGTTTTAAGAAATATTCTGAAAGAGAGGGAATGGTGGGCAGCACTGCATAGTTACTGATTTCTGTATGATTCCTTTGATTTTTTTTTCCACCCATTTAGGATAAATGTTGGCTATGGGTTTGTCATCTATAGTTTTTATTATGTTATGTTCCCTCCCTCCAGTCTTTGTCTAGCACTTTGATCATGAAGGCATGTTGGATCTTGTCAAAGCCCTTTCTATAGCTATTGAGATGATTGTGTGATGTTTGTCTTTAGGTTCATTTATTTTATTTATTAAATTATTGTCTTGAATGTGTTGAACTATCCCTGTATCTCCTAGATAAAGCCAACTTGGTGATGTTGAATGATTTTTTTTTTTTTTGTATGCTTGTCTTTGGTTTGGCAGTATTTTATTCAAGATTCTGAATTGATGTTTATCAGGAATATTGGCCTGTAGTTTTCTTTCTTGAGTATTAGAGTGATACTGGTTTTATTACTGATTTAGAAGTACTTCTTCTCTTTCTTTTTTTCTTCCTTTATTTGTTTTGTTTGTTTGTTTTTAATAATTTAAGAACACTTGCTATATATAGATCTTTAAAAGTCTGGTAGAATTCATCTTTAGTGTTTGGCTTTTGTTGTCATTTGCTAGCTCTCATGTTTTACCATTTCGTCTCATTTATTCAAGGTTGATTTAAGTGGTTGATCTCTTGGTTTAACTTTGGTGGTTTGGATCAATTTAGAAATCCTTCCATTTCTTTTAGGTTTTCCAGATTAAAAGAATACAGGTGTTAAAAGTAATTCCTTCTCATACTCTGGATTTCTTTTCTGTCTGTTACATTGTTTCTTTGTTCATTTATGATTCTGTTGATTTTGGTCTTCTGTTTCTTTTGGTTAGTTAGACAACAAAGTGTTGGTATTATTTATTATTTCATAGAAGCTAGCTCTTAGGTTCATTCTTTGTGTTATTTGTTTCTGTTTCATTAATTTCTACTTTGATTTTAATTATTACTTGCTGTCTTCTAGGCTTGGTCTGTTCATGTTTTTTTTTTTTTTCCAAATTATTGAGTTTCATCATTAAGTCCCTTAAGTCTTTCTGGTCTTTTAATGCAAGCAATAGAGGCATAAATTTCCCTATTTAATGTGCCCCAGAGGTTTTGGGGCACTTGTTTTCAAATTTTCTTTCTTTCTTTCTTAAGTTCTTCTTTGACCCATTCATCTTTTCTTAATCTCTAGGAGTTTGTGTACTTATTAGAGATGTTTCCGTCCTTATTTTTATTGTGGTGTAATCTCTATTAAGGATAATTTTGGCTGTTAACTTGGCTACTTCTGAAATCAGCTTGATCACAGATGTTAGGCATGCCTGTGGGGGATTTTCTTAATAGATTATTTCAAACAGAAACTAACAGTAAAGAAGACCCTAAGTCTGGGCCACACCTGTTGGCAGCCTATATAAAAGGGCATAGAAAAAATAAATTTTACCTTTTGCCTGTTTGCTCTCTTGCTGGAAAGTTCATTTATTTATTGAAGTCATTTACTATTAAGGTGCTGATTTTAATCTTGTATTTAATTCCAGTAGTATGCTCTATGAAACTGGATGCACCAGGTTTGGTGCATAGATGTTTAGAA